TTTTTTTTCTCGTAGCAAATGAATTTCCAAGAACCTCCCTTTCTAAGAAATTCCCTTTCACCAAGTTGCTATTCTTAATCAACTTCATATTCCCACTACATGATCAGTGATTCTTCAACGATCCTTTGATCGGGATACAATGGATCCTCGATCTTTGAACGGCTTGATGTTCGAGGGAATTCTGCTTTGAACAGTGTACAAGAACTCGAGAGTGTCATTTTGGATGGCAGAACCATTGGACCATCGACGAATGAATGAAATTTGCCTGAAAAGATATTAAATAAAGACTAGAACCAAGATAAAATCTATAAAGAGCCTCGTTCATCCGAACACAAAGTATTTCAGATAATACAGGTTCACTAGTTTTCTTCACATCTTGTTTGTTTAAATAATAAGAGATAAGAGATTGATCAATTACGAGTTCTTTACGACTCGACATTCAGATTCGAACTCACTCGAGGTTCAATCGTTAACACGATACAATCGCATAATTAAATTGATCGTAACCAACATAATTGTGAAATCATTAACAAAAATAATCGTTAAACACTTAAGATATTTTATATCTCGTAACTTGTATCTCATGTGTATCTGAAATTTTGATGTTTCATACAGGGAAATTTACGTCGAAGGTCGATTTGTGTTCAAAGTTTAAGAGTCCGCTGTATATCGATGTGCAGTGGCTCACAAAATTATATTCGTACACTCGTCGTAGATAAAATTTAATTAACCCTGCAATGTCACGTTTTATATTAGAAAGATCTGAACCCAATCTGAAAATGTGTACAAGGCGAGTCACCTGAAATTACTCGAAATTCTTGTCGTTCGTGCAACGTAACGATTAACGCAATTTGACGTTCACGCGATTTTATATTTTCGCGAAGATACAATTGGAAAAAAAAAAGTGCAACGCAGAGCGCAGAAAATTATTTTGGCCATTAATTGTATGGAAACTTACATCTAGTCTAGTCATTGATATTCCAAAATGTGCAAGCATAACACACGTAGAGCATCAACGACTGTACGAACACTTTCACGAACCA